ATGCAAAAATTAACAGCACCTCGAAAAAAAGATTCGCAGTCGACGGGGTTCGTACCTGTGTGGGGAGACCCCAATGGATTTCTAGTTCATCGCCTTAACCACTCGGCCACGACTGCCGGGACAACGTTCCGTGTGGAAGGGGTTGGCTCACGCATTACCTGAAGACTTTTGCAATTAAGTAAGCACAATTGTTCGTGCGTGGCGGATGCTGGGACAGCGTGCGAATTCGTTATGCAAAAATTAACAGCACGCCGAAAAAAAGATTCGCAGTCGACTGGATTCGAACCTGTGCGGGGAAACCCCAATGGATTTGGAGTCCATCGCCTTAACCACTCGGCCACGACTGCCGGGACAACGTTCCGTGCGGAAGGGGTTGGGTCACGCATTACCTGAAGACTTTTGCAATTAAGTAAGCACAATTGTTCGTGCGTGACGGATGCTGGGACAGCGTGCGAATTCGTTATGCAAAAATTAACAGCACCTCGAAAAAAAGATTCGCAGTCGACAGGATTCGAACCTGTGCGGGGAAACCCCAATGGATTTCTAGTCCATCGCTTTAACCGCTCGGCCACGACTGCCGGGACAACGCTCCGTGCAGAAGGGGTTGGGTCACGCATTACCTGAAGACTTTTGCAATTAAGTAAGCACAATTGTTCGTGCGTGACGGATGCTGGGACAGCGTGTGCATTCGTTATGCAAAAATTAACAGCACCTCGAAAAAAAGATTCGCAGTCGACAGGATTCGAACCTGTGTGGGGAGACCCCAATGGATTTCTAGTTCATCGCCTTAACCACTCGGCCACGACTGCCGGGACAACGTTCCGTGTGGAAGGGGTTGGGTCACGCATTACCTGAAGACTTTTGCAATTAAGCACAATTGTTCGTGCGTGGCGGATGCTGGGACAGCGTGCGAATTCGTTATGCAAAAATTAACAGCACGCCGAAAAAAAGATTCGCAGTCGACAGGATTCGAACCTGTGCGGGGAAACCCCAATGAATTTCTAGTCCATCGTCTTAACCACTCGGCCACGACTGCCGGGACAACGTTTTGTGTGGAAGGGGTTGGGTCACGCATTACCTGAAAACTTTTGCAATTAAGTAAGCACAATTGTTCGTGCGTAACGTATGCTTGGACAGCGTGCTGCGCTCTCATCCTTCGCGCCAGAATTACTTCTCTGCCCCACAGTGACCAAACCCAGCTCACTGCAATTGTGGTGAACACGTTCAGCTGAAACACAACATGCCACAGCATCGAGAGAGAGAGAAAAAAAAGGTACGTCAGGTAGAAGGTGCATTGATTGGCCCTGTGCCGTCTGAGGCTTGTACGATAGGCCTTTCTCCATGCAAGTTCTGAACAGCAGACGACTTACAACCACTTTCTATTTCCTTCCAAAGCACTTGATCCGCCGAGTGAGCCAAAAGCTGGAGAGTTTCAATAAGGAATCAAACTGTTTGTGCTCGTTTAACAGCAAGAGCTTTTCAGCCTCAAATGAATGAAGTTTAATTCTCAAGCTGCAGGCTTCAAACTATGAGCATTCTCAATTATGTAATTGTTTACTTCTAATAAATGTTCAGTAGCGTTGTGTGTGAGAATGATACAAGCATCCACTGTTAGCAACAATGTTTGGGTTCTCAATGTGTGCATAATAGGTGATGTTTACTTAATCGTATGTAATAAAAAAAGCTAACCTAGCAATCAGCCATTAGGCCCTTGTCTGCCCTCAAAGCTCTGAGGCAAATCACAGTCCACCTAGATAATGCTGCCATGCATGCTTCCAGACCGCTTTCAGGTTCGCGGATGGTAACAGTCCCAGCAGTCACAGAGGGAGCACATTAAGGGAGCTCGAGTCATTCCTATTTCTGTAGAGGTGCTCCTAGTCTTGAAGAGACTAGATTTGCCAGTGCGTGCAACCAATACCTTCAAAATCTAAAGACCTTCCCAAGCTCTGTGATCTGTTGTCACAGGTCCCGTTAATTCGGGAGGCGATCGCCGGGCTAATTCCAAGGGCCAAAGTATCGGCCCCCGAACCGCACCACGAAAGCGTGGACAATTTTGAAGTGGTCCTATTTGGCGTGCCAGCGGACGCCGGCTGTGGCCGAAAGAACAAGTGAGAGCCGAGAGTTGATAAACAAAACAAAATTATATTCTCAATTAAGGCAGATCAAAACGATACACAAGTATGCACACTCGACAATAGTTGAATACAATATGTTACGAATCAAACAATGTACTACACAGTACAATCAGCCACTCTCGAAACAATGGCACCGACAACAACACGCACTACAATGCAGTCGCATGCATCGAACAACCAAGTCACTTAAAGACTAAAGAGTTTGAAAACTTATTCAGTCCAAAGTTCTTGGAACAAAAGTCTGGATGATACTCTTCCGAGAATCACTCACTCAAAGTGTAGCGTTGTTGTCGTTCCGCTGCCCCCGAAGTTTCTCTTCCAGGAAACCTCGCGTCTTCAATTGACCGCTCTCCAGGCTCCAAACGTCTTCGCCGGAAACACGTCGGCTTCAAACACGCAGCTGTTGCCGCGTGTCTTCGCTCGATAGGGGTTGGGTCACGCATTACCTGAAGACTTTTGCAATTAAGTAAGCACAATTGTTCGTGCGTGACGGATGCTGGGACAGCGTGTGCATTCGTTATGCAAAAATTAACAGCACCTCGAAAAAAAAGATTCGCAGTCGACAGGATTCGAAACTGTGCGGGGAAACCCCAATGAATTTCTAGTCCATCGTCTTAACCACTCGGCCACGACTGCCGGGACAACGTTTTGTGTGGAAGGGGTTGGGTCACGCATTACCTGAAAACTTTTGCAATTAAGTAAGCACAATTGTTCGTGCGTAACGTATGCTTGGACAGCGTGCTGCGCTCTCATCCTTCGCGCCAGAATTACTTCTCTGCCCCACAGTGACCAAACCCAGCTCACTGCAATTGTGGTGAACACGTTCAGCTGAAACACAACATGCCACAGCATCGAGAGAGAGAGAGAAAAAAAAAGGTACGTCAGGTAGAAGGTGCATTGATTGGCCCTGTGCCGTCTGAGGCTTGTACGATAGGCCTTTCTCCATGCAAGTTCTGAACAGCCAGACGACTTACAACCACTTTCTATTTCCTTCCAAAGCACTTGATCCGCCGAGTGAGCCAAAAGCTGGAGAGTTTAATAAGGAATCAAACTATTTGTGCTCGTTCAACAGCAAGAGCTTTTCAGCCTCAAATGAATGAAGTTTAATTCTCAAGCTGCAGGCTTCAAACTATGAGCATTCTCAATTATGTAATTGTTTACTTCTATTACTGTTCAGTTAGCGTTGTGTGTGAGAAGATACAAGCATCCACTGTTAGCAACAATGTTTGGGTTCTCAATGTGTGCATAATAGTGATGTTTACTTAATCGTATGTATTAAAAAAAGCTAACCTAGCAATCAGCCATTAGGCCCTTGTCTGCCCTCAAAGCTCTGAGGCAAATCACAGTCCACCTAGATAATGCTGCCATGCATGCTTCCAGACCGCTTTCAGGTTCGCGGATGGTAACAGTCCCAGCAGTCACAGAGGGAGCACATTAAGGGAGCTCGAGTCATTCCTATTTCTGTAGAGGTGCTCCTAGTCTTGAAGAGACTAGATTTGCCAGTGCGTGCAACCAATACCTTCAAATCCAAAGACCTTCCCAAGCTCTGTGATCTGTTGTCACAGGTCCCGTTAATTCGGGAGGCGATCGCCGGGCTAATTCCAAGGGCCAAAGTATCGGCCCCCGAACCGCACCACGAAAGCGTGGACAATTTTGAAGTGGTCCTATTTGGCGTGCCAGCGGACGCCGGCTGTGGCCGAAAGAACAAGTGAGAGCCGAGAGTTGATAAACAAAACAAAATTATATTCTCAATTAAGGCAGATCAAAACGATACACAAGTATGCACACTCGACAATAGTTGAATACAATATGTTACGAATCAAACAATGTACTACACAGTACAATCAGCCACTCTCGAAACAATGGCCACCGACAACAACACGCACTACAATGCAGTCGCATGCATCGAACAACCAAGTCACTTAAAGACTAAGGAGTTTGAAAACTTATTCAGTCCAAAGTTCTTGGAACAAAAGTCTGGATGATACTCTTCCGAGAATCACTCACTCAAAGTGTAGCGTTGTTGTCGTTCCGCTGCCCCCGAAGTTTCTCTTCCAGGAAACCTCGCGTCTTCAATTGACCGCTCTCCAGGCTCCAAACGTCTTCGCCGGAAACACGTCGGCTTCAAACACGCAGCTGTTGCCGCGTGTCTTCGCTCGATAGCGGTAGACACACCTCTTGCTTAGCTCGAGTCTTCACCCCCAGGTGGAAATCCTCTTCTTCTCCTCCTTTGTCACGGAAGACAAAAGGCTTCGCCCACAAGGCGGAACACCCTATGCACTCTGGCGCATACTTTCTTCTTCTCCTGCTTGTCACTAAGGACAAAGCAGGAGAAAATCTCGCATCTTTTCTCCTTCACCGACAGACGCGGCGGAATACCCCACGGACACTGGCGTTAACTTCCTTCTTCTCCTCCTTTCCCATCTCGGCTGCTCGATTAAATACCTTCCGCACGAGATTCCAGAAAGTTCTCATCATTTCGTCGGCGCGATACGCAGCAAGGCTGGGGAAAGGGCGAGACGGTACGAGGGCCGTCCGTGACAGATGACGCAACCCTGCATCACCACGCCCCTTTCCATCGAGAACTCTCTAGGGCTTGCTCGGCCGCCGATGCGAGGAGTTCGTTGATGAACCTACGCTTCCGAGGGGAGATGGACGCGTGCCCGGGGAGTCTTCAGATGCTTGTTTTCGTTTTTTTCGTTGACCTCGCGGCGTCACTCCGGCTCTTTGTGGCGAGATTTGGCGACGCGCCCTTTTTGAGCACTCGTTTTGTGACACTGCCCCCACTTTAAGTATATTATCTCGTAATTCGTTATGCAAAAATTAACAGCACCTCGAAAAAAAGTTTACGCAGCCGACAGGATTCGAACCCTGTGCGGGGATAACCCCATGGATTTCGAGGTCCATCGCTTTAACAATCGGCCACGACTGCCGAGACAACGTTCCGTGCGGAAGGGGTTGGGTCACGCATTACCTGAAGACTTTGCAATAAGTAAGCACAATTGTTCGTGCGTGACGGATGCTGGGACAGCGTGCGCATTCGTTATGCAAAAATTAACAGCACCTCGAAAAAAAAAGATTCGCAGTCGACAGGATTCGAAACTGTGCGGGGAAACCCCAATGCATTTCTAGTCCATCGTCTAACCACTCGGCCACGACTGCCGGGACAACGTTTTGTGTGGAAGGGGTTGGGTCACGCATTACCTGAAAACTTTTGCAATTAAGTAAGCACAATTGTTCGTGCGCTAACGTATGCTTGGACAGCGTGCTGCGCTCTCATCCTTCGCGCCAGAATTACTTCTCTGCCCCACAGTGACCAAACCCAGCTCACTGCAATGGTGGTGAACACGTTCAGCTGAAACACAACATGCCACAGCATCGAGAGAGAGAGAGAAAAAAAAGGTACGTCAGGTAGAAGGTGCATTGATTGGCCCTGTGCCGTCTGAGGCTTGTACGATAGGCCTTTCTCCATGCAAGTTCTGAACAGCAGACGACTTACAACCACTTTCTATTTCCTTCCAAAGCACTTGATCCGCCGAGTGAGCCAAAAGCTGGAGAGTTCAATAAGGAATCAAACTGTTGTGCTCGTTGAACAGCAAGAGCTTTTCAGCCTCAATGAATGAAGTTTAATTCTCAAGCTGCAGGCTTCAAACTATGAGCATTCTCAATTATGTAATTGTTTACTTCTAATAAATGTTCAGTTAGCGTTGGGTGTGAGAATGATACAAGCATCCACTGTTAGCAACAATGTTTGGGTTCTCAATGTGTGCATAATAAGTGATGTTTACTTAATCGTATGTAATAAAAAAAGCTAACCTAGCAATCAGCCATTAGGCCCTTGTCTGCCCTCAAAGCTCTGAGGCAAATCACAGTCCACCTAGATAATGCTGCCATGCATGCTTCCAGACCGCTTTCAGGTTCGCTGGATGGTAACAGTCCCAGCAGTCACAGAGGGAGCACATTAAGGGAGCTCGAGTCATTCCTATTTCTGTAGAGGTGCTCCTAGTCATGAAGAGACTAGATTTGCCAGTGCGTGCAACCAATACCTTCAAAATCCAAAGACCTTCCCAAGCTCTGTGATCTGTTGTCACAGGTCCCGTTAATTCGGGAGGCGATCGCCGGGCTAATTCCAAGGGCCAAAGTATCGGCCCCCGAACCGCACCACGAAAGCGTGGACAATTTTGAAGTGGTCCTATTTGGCGTGCCAGCGGACGCCGGCTGTGGCCGAAAGAACAAGTCAGAGCCGAGAGTTGATAACAAAACAAAATTATATTCTCAATTAAGGCAGATCAAAACGATACACAAGTATGCACACTCGACAATAGTTGAATACAATATGTTACGAATCAAACAATGTACTACACAGTACAATCAGCCACTCTCGAAACAATGGACACCGACAACAACACGCACTACAATGCAGTCGCATGCATCGAACAACCAAGTCACTTAAAGACTAAGGAGTTTGAAAACTTATTCAGTCCAAAGTTCTTGGAACAAAAGTCTGGATGATACTCTTCCGAGAATCACTCACTCAAAGTGTAGCGTTGTTGTCGTTCCGCTGCCCCCGAAGTTTCTCTTCCAGGAAACCTCGCGTCTTCAATTGACCGCTCTCCAGGCTCCAAACTTCTTCGCCGGAAACACGTCGGCTTCAAACACGCAGCTGTTGCCGCGTGTCTTCGCTCGATAGCGGTAGACACACCTCTTGCCTGTAGCTCGAGTCTTCACCCCTCAGGTGGAAATCCTCTTCTTCTCCTCCTTTGTCACGGAAGACAAAAGGCTTCGCCCACAAGGCGGAACACCCTATGCACTCTGGCGCATACTTTCTTCTTCTCCTGCTTGTCACTAAGGACAAAGCAGGAGAAGAATCTCGCATCTTTTCTCCTTCACCGACAGACGCGGCGGAATACCCCACGGACACTGGCGTTAACTTCCTTCTTCTCCTCCTTTCCCATCTCGGCTGCTCGATTAAATACCTTCCGCACGAGATTCCAGAAAGTTCTCATCATTTCGTCGGCGCGATACGCAGCGAAGGCTGGGGAAAGGGCGAGACGGTACGAGGGCCGTCCGTGACGGATGACGCAACCCTGCATCACCACGCCCCTTTCCATCGAGAACTCTCTAGGGCTTGCTCGGCCGCCGATGCGAGGAGGTTCGTTGATGAACCTACGCTTCCGAGGGGAGATGGACGCGTGCCCGGGGAGTCTTCAGATGCTTGTTTTCGTTTTTTTATCGTTGACCTCGCGGCGTCACTCCGGCTCTTTGTGGCGAGACTTTTGGCGACGCGCCCTTTTTGAGCACTCGTTTGTGACACTGCCCCCACTTTAAGTATATTATCTCGTAATATTCAAAACCACGCAAACCAGTGCGGACAGTCCCCACACACTCGAAGACTGTAACATAGTCCGTCGCTCATGACACGTCACATTCACAATAGATCACTCAATGCAATTGTACATTGTAATTCAATCTCACAACACATGAAATCTAACCACAGGCACATGAGTACAACACTCCATCACATATTCCAAACAATACAAATGTACATAGTTCTCTCATTACAACAATTGTACAATACTATACATCACATCCCCGTAAAAAAACATTTTGACTCGCTCGACATACAGTTGTTACACAGGATAGCACCCACATTAACACAACATATTGCACTCAGTACTGCCAAACACATACCGATTCGACCTCAGCCTCTATCTCGTGTATTTCGATCTGCGCTTGCGTCCTTTCTTGCGGTGCTCGCTCGATCTGTTCTTGTTGTTCTTCGTTCTTTTTCGTTCTCTTCTCACGGCTGGTTATTTTTCATACACTTTTCTTTCTTCTTAGTTACATTCCATTGGTTCTAATAACTTCCCCTGTACATTACTTGGCATTACTGTCTGTTAGATCTCATATATATATATATATATATATATATATATATTGTCACAGAACAAGCGCTAAAAATGGGCGCGCCGCCAAATTCTTGCGATAACCCGCGGGAGAGACGCCGGGAAGTCAAAAGAAAAAAAAAAGAAAACAAACATCCAAGGCTCCCTGGGCGCGCGCTCTCCCCTCGGAAGCGTGGCTTCGCCGACCAACCTCCTCACCCCACATCGGCGGCCGAGCAAGCCCGCGAAATTTCTAGAACGAAAGAGGCGTGGTCATGCCGGGTTGAGTCATCCATCGCGGAGGGCATTCCAACCGGCTCGCCCTCTCCCCAGCCTTCGCTGCGTATCGCGCCGAAGAAATGACGAGAACCTTCTGGAATCTCGCGCGGAAGGTATTTAATCGAGCAGCCGAGACGAGAGAGCAGGAGAAGACGGAAGTTAGCGCCAGAGCGCGTAGGGATTCCGCCGTGTAGTCGGCGAACGTTTTGTCCATAGGGACAAAGCAGGAGAAGAAGAGGATTTCCACCTGAGGGGTGAAGGTTCGAGCTACAGGCAAGAGGGTGTGTCTACCGCTAACGAGCGAAGACGCGTGGCAACAGCTGCGTGTGTGAGGCCGACGTGTTTCCGGCGAAGAAGTTTGAAGCTTGGAGAGTGGCCAATTGAAGACGCGAGGTTTCCTGGAAGAGAAACTTCGGCGAGGTTTCCTCTAAGACAAAACTTCAGGGGCAGCGGAACGACAACAACGCTGGACTTTGAGTGAGTGATTCTCAGAAGAGTATCATGCAGACTTTTGTTCCAAGAACTTTGGACTGAATAGGTTTTCTATCTCTTTAGTCTTTAGGTGTCTTGGTTGTTCAATGCATGCGACTGCATTGTAGTGCGTATTGTTGTCTGTCCCCGTTGTTTCGAGTGTGGCTGATTGTACTGTGTAGTACGTTTTTGTTTGGCGACATATTGTACTCAACTATTGTGGAGTGTGCATACTTGTGTATTGTTTTTTTGATCTGCCATTATTGAGAATATAATTTTGTGTTGTTTATCAACTCTCGGCTCTGACTTGTTCTTTGGGCCACAGCCGGCGTCCGCTGGCGCGCCAAAAAGGACCACTTCTAAATTGTCCACGCTTTCGTGGTGCGGTTCGGGGGGCCGATATTTCGGCCCTTGGAATTAGCCCGGCGATTGGCTCCCGAATTAACGGGACCTGTGTGTGACAATTAATCTTGCTTCCGCGACACAGGACCTTTTGGTGCACAGTGCGTCCAAAGCAGTGGGAAAGAGCCTCGAGTTGTTGATAGTGCTATCGGAACGATTTTGTGTGTTGTTCAGTGTTCTCGTTAACGAGCGCAGGGGAGTGTTCCGATAGACTGATTTAGGCAGATACTTTTTGCACGCGGCAAGGTTTTATTTGCGAGTTGCGAGACAAAATGGATCTCGAAAAGTTAGTCGCTCTTGGTGAGAAGATGGGTCTTTCTGGCGCCGAACTACGGAAGTGGGTCACCCAGAAGGAAAAAGAAGAAAAAGAGAGGGCCAAAGAAGAAAAGGCAGCTGAGCTGGAAAAAGAAAGGCTGGCGGTCGAAAAAGCCAAAGCGGAAAAAGAAGCTGAGTTGGAACGAGAGAGGTTGGCAGCTGAGAGGGCCAAGGAAGAAAAAGCACCTGAGTTAGAGAGAGAGAGGTTGGCAGCTGCGAGAGAGAAGGAAGAAAGAGAGCAACAATTGAAGTTGGCATTGGAGAGAGAAAAGCTGGCAGATGAAAGGGCGAGAGAAGAGAGAGAGGCAAAGGAGCAACAGCTGAAAGAAGAAAGAGAGGCAAAGGAGCGACAGCTGAAAGAAGAAAGAGAGGCAAGGGAGCGACAGCTGAAAGAAGAAAGAGAGCTGCAATTGAAGTTGGAACTGGAGAAAGAAAGACTGACAGCTGAGAGGGCAAAAGAATAAAGAGAGGAAAGGGAACAGCAGCGACAGCACGAGATGGAACTCGAGCGGCTCCGTTTGCAACAGCGTAGTGAAACTCCCGTTCAAGCTAGAGTTGAAAGCAGCGAACGGGAGGACCACGGCTTCCGCTTGAACCCAAGCAAGCTGCTCGTAGCGTTTGATGAAAGGAAGGACGACCTTGACGCGTACCTTCACAGATTTGAGACGATTGCAAGGAGCCAGAATTGGCCGGAACACCAATGGGCAACTGCTTTGAGTACTTGCTTGAGTGGTGAAGCGCTCAGTGTGTACGGTAGGCTGACGCCGACCGATGCAGCCAACTATGCAAAGGTGAAAGCTGCTTTGCTGA